TGAGTCTTTCCTTCAACCTATCCTTTTCTAATTCTTATCTTCTTTTATTTCTAAACTCGGGATTACACTACGTCGAAGCGAGTAAATAATTGTCATGTCCATTTTAATATCAGAGTTACCAGTGACAGAATTATATTGAATTGTTTCTGCACCAAAATGAATAAAATCTCCGACATTCTTTGGCTGACGGGTGACAGTTACAAAGTACATACTATGAGGAATAGTTATGGGAACATTACTCAAGTCAAATTCGTGGTTGGGGTTTTCATTATCAACAATGCTTGAGTATGCGATGGTAAAACACGGTTCGGAATTCTCAACAATAAATTTACCCGAAATAAAAACTAGATCTCCGTTCGCAAATGTTTGCAACAGTTGATCAGTAGGAAAGAAGTATTTAAATTTGATTGTCTGGGTCAATTCTTTGGTAAGCTTATATTTAGCAAGTCCGCTTGAGCACGATCGGCTGTTTTTTACTGAGATTATGACAACAAGAAGTGAAACGTGAGAAACCATTTTAGGTCTTGAATACAATTGCAATTTTATTACGATGAAGAAATCAAATTGCACTCTCAAAAAGCGGACCTTCAAAACGTGCATTTTTATATAGAAAACTAGTGCTTAAATTTTTTATATTCCGGTCTTTTTTTTTACAATAATCTAATATAGTTTATTACCAAACAAAGATTCATAACGTTTGATTGTCCTCAAGGATTTGGCAAGTAAATCGTTATCAAAGATTTTATCACGCAATAAGAACAACACATAGTATAATAGCTTTATATTGTCTAAACAAAAGACATCCAATCAAAATCTTAATTTATAAATATGGATGCAATTAACACAATCGTTTAATTATCTGTTCAGGAATAATTTTATAATATTCAATATTTACGCGGGGCTATTTTAAATTAGCTTCATTTTATGAGATTAAAACCGGTCAATTTTGCGGTAAGATTTATAATACGAAAACAATTGACCATAGTGTCTATTCATATAAATTTTCGTATAATTTAAAGATTCGTATGATATTACCTGCATATGTTTTCTCAGTTCAGATAAGTAAATTTATAATGCTCAATAATTAAATTGCCATTTATGTTAATTTATTCAAATTCGGTTTACGTACGATTTAATTACGAAAAACATTTCAATATGGCAATTAATCATTTTATGCATTACCATTTTTAATCGCATAATATACCAATTGTCGAATTAACTAGTTTGTTTTTTTACCGCTAAATACCAGAATTATTGTCCCTAAAACAAGTAAGCAATAATGATAATAAAGCAAAGCGCAATAAGACCAAAAATCAGGTTTATTAACGGAAAGTATATACAACAATTAAATATCAATATAAATAACAAACAATTTAAAGATTTACACATTTTTGCCAGAGCGTAATTGGCAAAGTTCACAATAATCGGTACAATACACTTGATTTAATAGCATTCATTCGGGCTGAGTTTTTTGAATTACTCAAATTCGGCATAGCCACGCTCGCCTTACAACTAGAAATTTGACACAAGATATGCATATGTATTCGGTTAGAACAAAATTATTAATATCAAATGATCAGCACGCATAGATCAAAAAACGTAAGTATGATTAGTAAATAATATACCATATATAGTATTTCTAACTCAATATAGAATGCGATGAAAATCA